TCGAAACCACGAAAGGAGGATCGGGGATGATGGTACGAAGTGAGTCATGGAGTCACAATCGCTCGTATCGGCCTCTACTCGATTCTTATAGTGAAAAATGATTCCTGCGATTTTAAAGGCATACAAACAAAAATTCAATTTGCTCCAATCTATTATTAAGCTAAAATGGTTGAATATTAATGCAACACATAATTCTAAAATATTAGTGATCACTTGAATTAATAACAAGATTAAAAAGGAACCTAAACCGGTTATCCAAATTATCTTATTAGGCGTGATTTTCAATCAATATTCCCTTTAAACATGCAATATGGTGATCATAATAATAATAGAATAAAGATTAATATTGGAAGCAATTTAACAATAATAGCGCTAGTCAAATCAAATAATAAATTAACCTAATCTTGATATTAGCAATATAAAAATAAAATAAGAGTAATTAAATTAATTAATTACTCACATTTCGCGCGTTCCTTTAAATTGCTACATCATGAATAAATTGTTAGTAACTTGAATAAAAAATATAAATCAAATGAAAATTAAATTAAATAAATGTAGATTTAATTTGATCCAAACCCTGAGTTATTGGTACCTTTCACGCCTTAGTTTAAGGACGGAACCTCGGGTGTTGTATGGACTCCTTGGAGTGCTTAAGGAAGAATGGTATTATTAGGAATATAGGTTTAAGGCTTAGAATAAGAGAGAGAGAGAGAGAGAAGAAAATGATTTTTGGTGTAAAAGAGAGGAAGAGAGAGTGATTTGATGCCCTGAACTGTAGAAAGAGGGGTCCTATTTATAGGGAAAATGACCAGGGGGAACACACTGAACCCTATAAAGATAAAAACCCAAAAAATTAACACTGCGACATGACATTTTTCACCGTGGCACGGTGCTAGGCACCGTCAAATGGGGCACACTCCCATGACACGGTGGAAAACAGTGCGACACGGGAAATAATTAAGGTACGGGAGAGAAAACGCGTGAAGGGTTCGCGCGGAAAGGACACGGAGATGCCCCGTGTCACAGCACAGGCACCGTGACACGGAATTTTCCACCGTTTCACGGTACAGTACACCGTGTCACGGTAAAAAAAAGTACGCGGGAATTGCATGGAACATCCCCGTGTCACAGAATGGGCACCATGACACGGGAAATTGTACGGTGACATGTTGCAAAATCCAGTGACACGGTGGATTAAACGTGCAAAATCACACAAAAAAGGCACCGTTCCACGGCAATAAGCCCCGTGACACGTCAGTATTTGCCGCATCGCGGCGTTTTAGCTGCTGCGCGGTAATTCCAGTTTTTTACCCGTTTTTAAAATCATTATAACTTTTGATCTATAACTCGGAATAAGGCGTATAATATATAATTGTAATTCTTATCAAGTTTTCTTTACAACCCAATTATAATAAGGTCAAAATGATTTGTAGATTTTAAGATTTGACTGTTTTAGTGGAAGGGTGTCGGTTTTGGGCCGAGTTTAGTGTTTTGCTCATATCTTTTTCGTTATAGCTTGGAATTGGGTTTATGATATATGGTTGGAAAGCTTATTTTAAGGAATATTTAACCAAATAATAATTGAATCAAAATTATATAGCCATAAAATCATTTCATCTCGGTTTTGTGATGTGGATAAGGAATGTGGATAACAAGTTATGATTTAGGGAAATGAGCTAGGAAATGGATGGGTTTATGAAATGTATTGGATAGAAAATGGATTTAAGAAGTCCAAAGATTAAATACTTAACCGAACCAATAATGAAGGTGAAAGGTGTTCATCATCGGGTTTGGTTTTGAGGAGACATTTTTAGGTGTCTACAAGAACACCCTCCTTACAATCGTCATAAGTATACTTATCATTATGGCTATCGGAACCTATTTCCTCAACCATGAGTATTGTGAGTTTTCTTGTATTAGTAATAGTCCGATTTAATGTTGTCAAACATTTGTCGTAATAGGCAACTTAGCTTAAAATCGAAGCGCACGGGCCACATTCATAAATATGACAATGTTTGCGTTCAATCACATTCATAAAAAGAATTTCAAGCCTGATTCCGCATAAAACATATACTAGAATGGTTGATTGCATGCAAACAAAAAGTCAATACTATTTTCATGACGACTACTAGAAATTCCCAAGAGGGAACAAACCACTTGCATTGACGAATGCCCAAGATGCTCTTGCCATAACAGACTTGCATCCAAAACCACCACTTTTTTTGCCTGCGGATTTCGGACACAAACTTGCTTAAAACTTCTATAAGATAGACATACAAAATATATCAAATGTACAATAATATTAACATAACTAACCAATAAACTTCTAATAATAGTCTTAGCCATTATCATAGTGGTGGTAGTAAAACTTTAGCTATTTCCTTAAATAATATTTAGTTAAATAGATAAAAATAAAATTTTAAACATAAAGTTAATTTCTTAAGTGTTACATAAGTATCTTACCAAGTGAGCCAATATTTTTTTAAATGGTTAAAAGAGGGCAATATATTAACTATGCATAATAAAGTTTATGGCAAAGGAATAATCCAAAGCAGCTTACAATAGGCCCCCTTCATGATCAGGGTGGCTCTTGGGTGGGTGAATTACCACCCCCATTATGCATAGAAGCTAGATTTGTAGTAGTAGCAGCATTAAACCTGTAGTTAGAGTTATTACAGACAAAAATTGGAGCCATATGCAGCTACAAAATATTAACAAAAGTACTTAGATAGTTCCTGCTGAAAACATTGCTAGAAGTGTGAGGTAGATCCAACACAGCTCTTCTTGCTACTTTGTCTGCTTCCCTGACTTCCCTCCTGGTAGCTTTCTCTAGCTTTAGCCTTCCTTGCTCGGCCAGGTCTCTGCAAATGACATAGAAATTTTCCATTTCATCCAGGTAGGGAGTTAGTTGATGTATTCCAAAAATATCTCCTTGACAGTCTGACAAGACCTTGACATCATTCCATCCTTCTAACGCTGCCCATTTGATAGCAGATATGATTGCAATTGTCGTAGCCAATACGGCTGAAATTAGGGATGCATGGATAACTATTCTTTTAACCCAATTTTCCTAATTATCCCTGCAGATACAAGTTATTCCCACATCCATATTTTGTGCATGGATGGAAGCATCAACCATTGAACTGATGGGTAAGAAGAGGTGATGAAGGGGCTTAGATGATTTGCATTTGGTACTGGAGAGAGCTGAGGCCTAGGAGAGATAGCTCAATAACAAAGTGTTTGAGGGATTCAATCATGGTTTGAGATTAGGTGGATTTTTTTGTTGAAGACCCCGTCATTCTTTCTCAACCAGATTCTCCAAGTAATAATAACAAAGCTTACATTTTAAGGAAGATTGAGAAAGGGGTGCAAGGTTGTATGCTCAAGGTTTGCAATCCACCAATCCCTATAAGAATTAGAGAAGGGGGGCTACAAGAGGTTGAATGATATTCCATATCTACTGGGCTCTATGGGAGTCTTTGAATATGTGAATGTTAGTTTCATCCACACCAAGGCAGAAGGGACAAAAGCCCGAGGTTATTATTTGCTTATAATGGAGATGATAGGTAGTTGGTAACCTACCCCATAAGCATAACCATAGGAAGAATTTTGAAAGAGGAGGAATGTGCAAATTCCAAAGGTTTTGAAAGAAATAATTCTGATTTTGAGGTGGGAGCTTTGAGCTCTAGAGATGGTGATATGCTTTGGCAGAATTGAAAAACGAACCCTAAATATTATGTTGGTATCATACACATAACCGCATAGAAGTAACCCCAATAATGACTCATAAAAATATGTGTTTAGTATTTTACTATTCAATTATTGCATTCATCTCTCTTTGTCTACCTTTTTTTTTTTTTTTACAAATTTGATCTCCTTATTTTTATCAAATTGAATCCTCGCATTCACGCAACAACTTCAAAGTTGTTTATGTGTTTATCATATATCCCCTCTATCCTATAATAGACATAATCAAACTTTGCATACATGCGAGATAAACTAATGCAATCATATTTAAATATTATTTAATATTGGTAAAAAAATAATAATAATAACAACAGTCATGCATATTATGAGCAAGTTATCAATATCGAGATTCTTGTTTAAATTTGACTGAGCTCTCTGAATCGAACTGTAAAATCAAATCATATAAGTTAAAAACCTAATATTTAATAGAGTCTTTAAAAAAAACAAAAAAAAAAACTCATAGAAAATAGTCATTTACCCACTAAGCCACCAATAATTGGCAATATATATTTATAAATAATTATGTGGAATGTTTTAAACTTCTATGGTTTTCGCTAGTTAAGAGAAACAGGTAAAAATGTGTGGAATCATAAATCAAATTGTATGGAAATATATGAATTGTAAAATCATATATTCTAAGATTTAAATTGAAATTTTAGTAAGTATGATTATAAAACTTTGGTACCAATTTAATTTCACAATATAATGTTTTTAATACGTTTGAAGGAAAAAAAAAACTGCATTTAAAAATTAATATATGAATAATGAAAAAGAAGTCTAACGCATTAATTATTTTGGAATAGAGGGAGTGTCTCAAATCCGACACGTTTTTTTCTCCTTAGATTATTGTAGTTTTGACACATAAATAAGGACTTTATCCACAACATTCTTATTCTCTTAACATACCAAATTCACACGTTTTTCTTTCCCTTTTAATCATTCTAAAAATAGACCAATTCATCAAAATTAGGTTTCATTCAACAGCAGATAAATTATCTCCAATCTCACATTCTCACCCACATTTAAAAGATCTTAATAAAATTTCATGTGGTAGATAAACATAGTAATGTTAATGTCAGTCACTTGGCCACGAAACCCTCAATAACACTTGGTCCTATCCAAAATAAATACTTCTACTTTATAATCCGTATTTATCCATTAAAATGTGGACCCCACAAACATATATCCATTGACACCCCGCTATCTCACGTATAAATATAAATACATGTGTAATTTATTCAATTTTCATGATAACATAAATTCAAAGTAGTAGAAGTGTAATTTGGAGTAGTGTACTTATAAGAAAAATGAAAATGATTTCAAAAATGGATATAAATTTTGTTAAACAGGGTATCCGTTTAATGAAATGGGTAAACCCGATTCGTCAAAAATGGATCCAATCACGATTTGGGAACGATGAAAGTGAGAGCAGCAATGGTAGAAAAGCCAGAGAATTGCACAGCAGATGAACTTCATTATGTAAATGTTCCAAATATAGATTGGCGACTTGCACTCTGGCGTTACCTTCCTTCTCCTAATGTCTCTTTCTTTCTTGATTTTATTTTTTTCTTTTTTGGGATATTTTTTTTTCAGATATTTGGAGGTCTAATGAAATCAGTGATTTGATGCAGGCGATGAAAGCTAGAAATCATCCACTGTTATTGTTGTCTGGTGTTGGAACTAATGCTGTTGGATATGATCTCTCCCCTCAAGTCAGTCTTCTCATTTTCTTTTTTTTGTCTTTAATGCAAAGAGTTTTCAGTTTTTTAATATGATTGTTTTTAGGGGGTGTTTGGTTCAAGCATATTAGGTATAAGGTATGGGTTTGGAATGACCAAAACCCATACCTTGTGTTTGTTTCTTGAAATTTCATTTTTCAAACCCATACCTCAAACCCCCAAGGTATGAGTTTTTGAAACCCAAGGGGGGAGGTGGGTATGGCTCATACGGACCCATACCTTTAGGTTTAAAATTAAAAGAAAGACTATCATTCTTAGATAAAAACCAAAAATATGAAATCAAGTATTAAGTTCCAACCCCATACCACTCAGGTTTCATTCCTCATTCCAAACCCATACCATTGTTTGAACCAAATGCCCCTTTTGTTTCTAAAACTAGTTTATTCCCGTAAATGCACGGATTAAAAATACTACATTCGTTTTATAAAATCTGGTGCATGTAATTAATTAGATGAGAGAGAAAGTAACACCACTAGCACCTACCCCATCAGCATCAACACCCACCTTGTAACAACCTGTCACCACCACAACCACCCAAAAGCCACTTGGCCAACTCGCATCACCACCAACACCCTACCCCTTAAGGTCGTAACCACCCTCTCACCGCCGCCACCACCACCACCAAGATCTTAAACCTCACCTCACCACCACTATGATTCAAACCCCACCTCATCACCACCAATTGAATCCCCATCTTACCACCACCAACGAACCAAAACCCCACCTTACCACCTCCAACAAACTAAAACTTCCAACTCACCACTATCAACGAAACCCGGGTTACCTCACCACGACCAACGAACCTGAAACTACCACCTTACCATCCAACAAACTCGCACGACCACCACTAATGTAGATCTGAAACCCCAACTTACCACCACCATCCAATTTCGAAAAAGGAGTGAGAAAACCTTTGGCAATCAGATCTTGGAACACCGAAGAGTACTATTGAACGGATTTTCGCCAGATCCTGTAACACACGAGGTGGCGACGACTTTGGAATGGGATATTGAGGCGGCGACGTCTTTGAAAAGGGATAATGAGGCGGCGACGAACTGGCGAGGGTGGAGTAAAATGGGCAGCGACCAGGTGGTAGTGCGGTGGTTGTGAGAGAGGATATGGCTGCTGTTGCTGGTGGTTGAGAGGGAAGAGAAAGAAAAATTAGTGATGGTGGTGGTGGATATGGTTGTGAGGGAGGAGAGAGAATGTGGGTTAGGGTTTTAATTATGAATAAATTAATTTGGGTTAAAGAATTAATAGGTTGTTTATTAGAGTTTAGGAAAATTTAGTAAGGGTATAACTGTAAATTCACACATAATATTTTACTACATTAGTAATTTTTTTTTTTTTTTTTTTTTTTTTGCACATAATGTGTAGTTTCCGTTTCAGGAAAATGTTGCAGGTTTTATGAAACGGAGGTAGTCTATTATTTATTTCCTCCGTTCTTTTTTTATTGCACCATGAGGGATTTCATGTTTGCCAATGCATTTTTTAGCTATTAATATCTGCAATTATACTTTTGTAAAAATTATAAAAAATTGATATTTGAAAAGAAGATTTCGAGACGAATCTAATGAGATCCCACATGACTATATTTTTCTTAATAGATAAATCACAAATGATGGTCGAAGAAGATTAAGTGAATAGTGTAAAAATCCTAATGGTGCAATAAAATAAAAACGGAGGAAGTATTTAAAATAGTTGTCAATATTTTTAATTCAAAAAAATGTTTATATTCTCATAAATTAATTTTGAAAGAATTATTATATTTCTGTAGTCTTAGAACTTAGGAAAAATTAAAAAAAAAAATGATTGATGTCAAAAATAGTTTTGACGGGAAATTTTTTCATAAAAAGTTAACATGTGTCTCTTAATGATGTCAGCATGTTTTGTTTTAGTAATATTTGGCACTCACGGTGCAGCTGAACTATAAGCTCATGTATCATGCCAGTATTTCTCATGTTTAAGTAGAATTATATAGTAAAATTTATGTTTATCGAATATGTTTTGAGAAACAACATCTAAAATAAATAGTTAAAATCTCACAAATTACCCATTCCTAATTATATCATAATCTGTTAGGAAAATAATTCAAGCAGGGGTGAGGCGGGTCGGGGCCCGACCCCTCTTAATTTTTCTAAGTTATTGGTTAAAAGTAATATAATGTTTGATAATTACAATTAAAAAGTTATGGCATAGTAGTTAAGTATTGTTATTTTTTAATAGAAGGTTGGAGGATCAAACTTTGGCCCCCTTGAAAAATTAAGGTTCTTAAAGTATTATTTGCCTCCACTAGTAAAGTAACATAAACATTACAAGTGTGAGAGGAGATATATTTTCAAGTTTATCACAGAGATAAACTTGAATTTTCCCTTTTATTTTTTCAATGTGGGAAACAAACAAATAAGTATAATATTGACATCACCAAAAATATACAAACTTTATAAATCAACACAAACTTCTCTAATCTTTCTATGTGGGAATACTTCTACGTATATTGTTAGAAGACTACCTAGTGATATATTACAACAGAATGAGCTGATAGTTTTAGTCCAGATCTAATTAACAAACTTCCAAACAGTTACATCAAGAACATTATTAAGAGTAATGATTTTCTAGATGTAAGTTATCCGAGCAGTAGGTACCATCAAATAAACTATAACTGATTTAATGAGCCATTTGTAGTTTCACATTAGTTCATACTTACACATGCATTCTATGGTATTTTTTTGCAAGAATTATTTCAAAAGTATAACAATTTTGGGGTTGTTAAACAACGCTCTCACCTTACAAGGCACCGCTTGCATTTTAATACAAACTTTTGTATTTACCCCTTGTAATAAATAAATGCTCATAACACTCACACCATTCATTTCTCATTTTTGGAATCACAAATTCACAACTCTCTCGCAACTCACTCTTATTTCATCTCGCTAATTTTTTTTTTTTTAGAAAAAGTCAAATTAGAAGATGGAAAAAAAAATAGAAAGAGCCAGAACATTGATTACAACAACAATAAAAATACCATAGGACCTGTTCACTTCCGCTTAATTTCAGTTCAGTTCAACTCCATTCTGTTCACTTCAGTTCAGCTCTAATCAGTTCAGTTTAGCTCCTAATTTTCTTCTCTCATAAAATATTCATTTCAACTCTATTCAATTCAGTTCAATTCAGCTCCAATCAATTAATTTCAGTTCAGCTCACTTGTTCAGTAAATGTGAACAAGCCCTAATTGTCTAATTAATCAAATAATCACAAAATTAATAATGATCATAATAAAAATGCTAATAATAATATAAAAATACTAATAATATTAAAAAAATTACAATAATAAATTTGATTAATTAATCAATTCAAAAGAAAAATTGACATTTGCCCAAAAAATTAGGATCCACCTAGGTGAATCCACTTAAAATTTCCAAATCTACCCGGGAAGATTCGGAAATTTTAGGAGGATTTGGGGGATCCGCCTAAAATTTCCGGATCTACTTAGGCGGATCCGGAAATTTTAAAGTGGATCCACCTAGATGGATCCTAATTTTTTAGGCGGATGTTTTATTTTAATTTTCTTTTAAAAAATGTACGATGAATTACAAAATCCTCTGATAAAGCCTCTGGTGTCCGAACGTTAGTTGTTGTCGTCCATTGTCTTAAACCCGTTGCTAATGCTTAATAATTTTTTTTTTTTTTAATACTCAGATTTTTGGTGGTGGATCAAATGTGGTGGGGTCGGAATTTTTTTTTACAACGTAATAATAGGTGGAGGGATTAGGAATGATATTACACCATTATATACTATAAGTTACACAAAGGGCAATATCGTCCTTTCATGTCAAAAAGAGAGCGATGCCTATAAAATAAAAGCGTCGTTTAGCAGTTCACCAATTATATTGTCAGATTCTAACAAGTTGACTTGGCTCTTTCCCTTTTGTTTTAACAACCTTTTTCTCCATGCTTTTGTTGGCCCTTTTTGTTGTAGTGAAACCTGTTAGCATCAGATTTTTTGGGCTCCACTAGATTAGCACTAAGAAAAACAGAACTATAGAAGCATAAGAATTAGATGGTTTATACTTTGATCGGTTTTCTCCTAAATATTAAGATGGCCAACTAAATCATCTAGGGTAACGTCCCTCTTTTTGTGCCAGAGTTTGTTGTTATACTCCTTGCGTGATGGTAACAATTTTTAAATCAAGACAACAACAACAATCTACCTACATATGGACAAACCCTTAGCACCAATACTAATACAAATGTTATGTTTAACTAATACAGTAATGCTTAGTCTCATCATCATCTAACCCATACTTCGTTTCTAAAGCATCACATATGCCTTTAGCATGGTAAAATTCATATAAATGTCGAGCAATGCATTATACATGTATCGCAACAAGCCAACAACATAACCGTACAAGCTTTATTATTTCCCCAAGTCCGTCATCTCGAACTCTTTTGTCATTGAGGACCTGAATTCTTCAAACAGATTTTGTGATGATCCCAAATAGATTATATCATCCACATACACGCACACAATCAGGAAATCAGACAACTTACTCCCTTTCACATACAAGGTTGGTTCATTATCACTACGCACAAAGCCATTTTGCAGAAAATATGAGTCAATTCGCTTGTACCAAGCTCTTGGAGCTTGTTTTAGGCCATAAAGTGCTTTCTTCAGCTTGTACACCTTATGCTCCTTCCCATTTACCACAAAACCTTCAGGTTGGGACACAAAAACTTCCTCCTCCAAGTTGCCATTCAAGAACGCAGATTTGACATCAAACTGGTAAAGTGGAAGTTTTAATTTGGCAGCTAAAGACAAAAGCATTCTCACTGTTTCAAAGCGTGCAACAGGAGAGAATGTTTCGTCGTAATTAATACCCGGATTTTGTGCATATCCTTTGGCAACAAGCCTTGCCTTATATTTTTGAACACTACCATCAGCATTATGTTTCACCTTGTAAACCCATTTGAGTCCAATTGGAGTTTTACCGTAAGGAGGATCAACCAATTCCCATGTGTGATTGCGCTCAATTGCAGTAAGTTCTTCTAGCATTGCCTCCTCCCATTGCTCATTCTCCACTGCTTCTTCATAACAGGTTGGTTCAGACACATACAAGGCAAACGAACATGATTCATATACTTCGCTTAAAGACTTCATTTTTCGTGGTGGTGTGTCTGATGATGAGCTGGACTGATCTGATGAGCTGCTTCTCTCACTGCTTGGTGTTGAGGACGCACTTCTGGTTGGTGATATAGGAGGTGTGTGAACCTCATTGTTATTTGGTTGAGGCATTTCATGTGCAGTCTCTTCTTCTTCATTAGTCAAGAGAGAATTAGGTGATTGAGCACTATCTTTCGCATCTTCCCAACTAGCCTATTCATTAAACTTGACATTCCTGCTTATAATTACTTTGCCACTTACAGGATTATATAGCTTATATGCCTTAGATTGGGTGCTATAGCCAACAAAGATATATTTTTGTGATTTCTCATCAAGTTTTGAACGAGAATTGACTAGAGCATAAGCTATACAACCAAAAATGCGTAAGTGACTCACCTTGGGCTTGCGACCTTTCCATGCCTCATATGGTGTTTGATCATAGACTGCTTTGGTAGGAGAAATATTGAGAATATAGACTGCAGTAGCCACGGCTTCAGCCCAAAATTCCTTTGGAACGTTTCTTGCGTTTAGCATACTTCTTCCCATTTCAACAATTGTGCGATTCTTCCTCTCGGCAACGCCATTTTGCTGGGGCGTATAAGGGGCAGTGAGCTCTCTGTGAATGCCATTTTCTTCACAAAATTGATTAAATTCTTCTGAAACAAACTCTCCTCCACGATCAGTGCGAAGGGTTTTAATGTGACAATCACTTTGTTTCTCCACAAATGCCTTGAACTTCTTGAAGTGCTCGAATGCTTCAGATTTTTTCTTCAGGAAATAGACCCAATTCATGCGGCTAAAATCATCAACAAACAGTAGGAAATAGCGACTCCCACCTAGTGAATCAATTGACATTGGTCCACATAAATCCGCATGAACTAGCTCTAAACAAGTTGAGGCTCTCCATGATTCCCCACTTGGAAAGGCTGGCCTGCTTTGTTTGCCAAACACACATCCTTCACAAAACTCAATAGGCTCGATTGTAGGCAAGCCAAGAACCATTTGTTTCTTGCCTAACAACCGTAAGCCATTAATATTCAGATGACCGTATCTCAAGTGCCACAAACTTGATTCACTATTTCCCTTTGCAATGAGGGCATTACTGGTTTCACTATGTGAAATATTTAAGGGAAACATTTTGTTTGGGGTCATTTTAATACTCATAATTTTGCGATTTTGGTCATGAATATCACAATGGCCATTTTCAAAAATTACAGAATATCCACCCTTAATTAATTGACCAACACTCAATAAGTTGTGAGTAAGAGAAGGTACATACTGAACATCATGGATGAGTTTCGTCCCGCCATTACAAGTTGGAATTGCCACTATGCCTCTACCTTCCACCTTAACTTGCTTGTCATTGCCGAGTCGCACAACTGACTGCTTTGTGTTATCGATTGACTTGAACCATTTCCTTTCTCCTGACATATGATTAGAGCATCCACTGTCCACGAACCAGATTCCATGCTCCATCGGTTCAAGCTTTGAATGGGCCAAAAACAGATTGCTTTCCTCTTGTGGTGCCTCGGAGAAATTTGCCTTCGATTCTCCTCGTTGCTTGCTCCAACAGTTGGTCTCAGTGCGACCATTTTTCTTGCAGTAATTGCACTGAATATTGCTTCTGGAGTGTTGATTGAATCCTCCATTGTGCCTTCGACCGCGACCTCTACCGCGAAAGGCTCCTCGAAAACCACCTCTGCCTCCTCTGTTATTTGATGCTTCACCTTTTCCCTTTACGAAAGGCTCACCTCTCACTTGTAGAGCCTTTTCTTCACCTTTCTCCTTGTCTTTCTTGAACCTGGATTCATGAGCTAGCAAGGAACACATTAATTCGTCGAATGTGTAAGTTGAGAGATCTTTCGATTCCTCAATTGCAATAACGACCCCATTGAACTCAGGATCCAGGCTGCGCAACACTTTGCTTACAACTCTCTCGTTGCTCAAAAGCTCACCATATGATTTCATCTGATTAACAATACCTGATACCTTCGATAGGTATTGTTGCATAGACTCCTTCTTGGTCTTCTGCAAACCATCAAATTCAGAACGTAATGCTTGCAATTTAACAGAGATTACCTTCTTATCGCCAAAGTACTCGTGCCGTATGATCTCCCACGCTTCTTTGGCTGTCTTGGCAGACGATATGCGAGGGAATATGTCATCATCCACTGCAGATTGGATAAGAAATAGGGCTTTGGCATCCTTTTTACGATTGTCACGCAATCGTTGATCAGGTTCTCCTGATGCTTCGGTGTAACCTCCTTCAACAATGTCCCATAATTCTTGAGACTTGAACATGGTTTGCATTTTGATACTCCAAAGGTGATATTTTTCGCCTTTGAAGATTGGAATGAGAGGTTGTGCAGAAGGGTTTAGGCCGTTGTTAGACATAGTAGAAGCTTGTTTGATTGAGTGGTGAGGTTACGTGAGAGAAGAGAGGGATTAGAGCCGATTTTTTTTTTTTTTTTTTGTGGAGCTTGGTTGAGGAAAACAGTCTGGCTCTGATACCAGAATTTGTTGGTAAAATAGAGGGAATTAAAACAGAGTAAATTAAATTAAGAAAGCAAAAGGAAAATCTGATAATATGCTCTTAATATTGCTACATCAATTGATCAATATTTGTGCCTTTATATAGGCTTACATGAAAACAACTTAAGCTAGAAAAGTGGAAGAAATAACAACTTGCTACTGATTTATTCAAAACACTAACTAACCCTTAAGACTCGGACAAAGTAAAACAGAAAAGTTGAAGCATTCTTCATTCAATACACCCCCTTGCTTCAAAGCTACAGGGTCACCATTTTCATCCAATTCCTTGCTTTCATCAGTCACATAAGTAGTGAAAGCACATTGAGCTAGTTTACCCCGTAATTGCAAACGCATTGTTGTCTAAAATTTATCTCTTTGATCTTTTATTTAGCTACCAAATTGTAAATTTGGAAAACTTAATACTTCATCAATCTGCTGTTCTCAATCACCAGTATTTTGTTAATTTGTTTTCATGTACACTACACTGCCCTTCCTGCTTTCGCTTCATAAACTGCCTTATAACTATGACTTGTTTTTCTTCTCAGTTTTGAGATAAGACTGATGCATTCGGATGATTGCAGTCCTCGTTTGCCCGTCATATGTCAAGCGAAGGATTTGACACATGGATTCTTGAAGTGCGAGGTGCTGGATTGAGTATGAGAGGTTTAGAGTCCTTTAAAAGTGAGCTGCCTGCCAAATGATGCATGTATTTGTAATCGTAATTTTCTCTTGGGTAGGAACTTTCATTTATAAAGCAAAGCAGTTTAAGACTAATGAACTTGCAGGGTTATCAAAGTCGAATCAAACCACTGCTGGTCAATCCCAGATTAAGGATTTGAGTTTGAGTTTATCACCACTGCCATTTCTTGAAATGAATGAGCAACTTGTGCCGATGATGGAAGATATTCAAAGGCAGCTAAACCTGTTTTTGGACAGTGAATGGGATTTTGATCAGCTCGTAAAAGAAGATCTGCCTTTGGTGGTAAGGTTTTTCTTTCATTAGCTTAAACATTAAATCAGAAACAGTTTAGGTCCGAAAACTGTGACTTTCAACAAATGTCAAAGAAAATGAAGATAAAAATTCTCTTTGATGGTATACTGTGGTGAAAAATAATGATGTTTTATCAATGAAAATCGATAGATTCATGTAGTTTGAAACAGAGGAGTGCAATAAATACTATGATAAACAAGTAGCATTACATAGAATGAGTTATAAATAGTGTGTAAAGCTGATCATCTGCAAAATAATCCTTTTTGCAGGTAGACTACATTAAGACGCAATGCAACCCTCGTGATGGAAAATTACTTTCCATTGGGCACTCTATGGGTGGTATTTTGCTGTATGCAGTGCTCTCATTGTGTGGTATGTGAACGTTTTTTCATGTTTGCGGTGTTTTGTGTGCTGAAACTGTTGGCGGTTGTTGATTGTATGTCAATAGAGGGAGCGATAAAACATTAGCTTTTGGTTTGAGCTGAATAGCTGATTGAAAAATTACTTTAGATTCTTATTCCTACTGCCATTATACAAGCTCATTTTCACTTTCTGCATTCCAATTTCTTGAGAACAATCAGAACTACTTTTACCTTCACAGAAACTGCTCCGAGTTTAACTTTATTCAGAGATTTCACCTTTTCCCAGTTTTCTACTTAATTAATAATTTAAACCACAAAAGTATATATTCATTGATCTAGTGTCTAGTGTCTTGTTAGAAAGTTTGATGAAACATCTATTTCACTATTTGAGCCCTTTACCTTATTATAACTTTAGAGTTTATTTTAGTAATTTCGATATAACCCCCTTAAACTAGTAAAAAGCTAATCTTTTTCCTGTTTTTTGCTGAAAATGTAGGTTTTTTTTTTCTTTTTTTTTTTTCTTTTCCCCTTTTGGTAGTTAGTTTAACTTATGCATAGTCTACAAAATAGAGCCTAACTGACCGTCTTTTACAAGAATTTGCTATAAATCTTTTGGAGTATGTAAAAGTAGTTGCATGAAAGTTATCAGGTATTGTGCATATAACCTTTATATTTTCTTAAATTTTACAGAAGGTAGATTTCATGACTGGCCTTTAAAGCAACTTTACTGTCGAAGATTCACACTCAGGCTGAATATGCTATTTAAGGCCTTATATAATCCTGAGTTGGGGAGGATTTACACCTTTTAGTTGCCCTGAGTTCATTCTGTCTTCCCCTCAAAGCATAGATCTAATTAACAGTTCGACAACAGTTATAGATAAAATGTTGGCTGATTTATGCATTTCTATAGTGCATCTGGAAGTTTCGTGGAAGTATTTTGGAACTTTGAACTAACTTGGTGATAGGATAGTCTATAAATCAGCGTTTTTTGCAACTGATGGCAAGAAAGAAGGCTAGTGCTTGAAAGTAGGGCAGCCACTGATTAACTTTTTGATTCATCAAAAAGAGTGTTCTTTAAGAAATCCAAGCGGATGCTATATGACTTCAAATTTGAACATACCCTTAAAAGAGCTAGGCAAGCCTCTTCTTGTTTTATGTCAAGGAAATCAGATTTGAGATTCATCAACAAACCTTTTGGGGTAAATGAACATTTTAATTTGTTTGCATATTTTAGATGCCATCATGATGTCTTCATTAGCTTCCTGTATAGATATACCGAGGTTCCCGTAGCTTTATCTTGTAGACTTGGCAATAAGTTGCTTATTTAGATTTTACACAGAAATAAAGGCTTACATAAGTCAATTATTATGGTAGTTTCTTTCTAAATAGTGAATGCCTCTGATTTGTGTCACATTTTAATGTTTTGGGTGTTCTCTTATAGCTGTATAGCATGTATTTGTGTAAGGTTTATTATATCATGTAAATGATCAAAAAAAATTTCCTAGGATTTGAAGGAAGAGACTCTGATTTTGCAGCAGTTACTACACTAGCATCAACGCTCGACTATTCATCATCAAAATCTTCTCTAGAACTACTCTTGCCTTTGGTAAGAATACTGTTTGAGTAAACTTGGTCTTTCAGGTAAACATGTTTTTTAAGCTACTATATAACACTGTTGATTTGTAGACGGATCCTGCAGAGGCTTTAAATATCACATCGATTCCCATGGGCACTATATTTGCAGCACTGCATCCTCTAGCTTATCGTGCTCCATTTATATTGTCCTGGCTTAATTCTCAGATATCTGCTCAGGACATGATGCTTCCAGAATTGTTTGACAGGCTTGTGCTCAAGAACTTCTGTGAGTAATAGACTTTTTCTTTTATTTATAGTGACAGTATACAGCTTTATCACTTTGCTCATTTAGTCCCTAATCTATTTCTCTGAGGTTTTGGGTGAAAGTGTGAAGTTACTGATACTTGTATATCTTTAGCTATCTTTCAAATAACCTCACTATGTGGTAACTATCACTGATCAATGAATTGACACTATGTCATACACTAAATACATGATTCAGTGCATGATTTGCTATTGTTCACTTATGAAATGATACAGAGGTAGATACTAATGCTCATCCAGGAGACTAGCACACATCCGCATGCTTTTGATGGTAGAACCTCAACCATTTGCAATGAAAAATTAAAAACTGATACAACAATATTTGTTTTAAAATTAAAGTCATGAAAGAAATAATATTTACATTTGAACTATTTGAATATTGTGTTCCATGGTATTACAAAAAAAAGTCAATCTTCCATCATTTTTATTTTTTTGGTGATTGGTGTCATGTGTCTTGAAAGTATTATTGTTTGTTGATGAATTATTGCATCTCATTCAAATTTTAACCATAACTTTGAAGACATAGCACTATGTTTTATTCAGCATGTTTGTCAAAAAAAGTTCCAACTGAAATGCAAATCATTCATGAACTTGGGTTACAGGTACAATACCTGCAAAACTCCTCTTACAATTAGCAACAGCCTTTGAGAGCTCTGGTTTACGTGATCGATCTGGAACATTTTTATACAAGGATCATCTCCATAAGAGCAATGTCCCTATCTTGGCCATTGCTGGGGATCGCGACTTAATCTGTCCCCCTGAAGCTGTATACGGTATAATTATACTGCAGGAGTTCTTATGTGTATCAAATATGTACACTACTTTTATTTCTTGATATTGATTTTCCAGGTGTTTTAATATGATGTAACAGAAACTGTTAAGGTGATCCCAGAGAAATTGATTACATACAAAGTTTTTGGAGAAATTGGTGGTCCACATTATGCTCACTATGATTTAGTGGGAGGCCGTTTCGTAAGCTTTCTTCTTTAATGCCTTCTCTGTATTATGTCACTGACAAGCATATATATCTTTCACTTTTACGTGGTGCGCTATAAGTCTCAAAAGAATAGTGTTCCCTTCGTCCAGAAATAACATAATAGTTTCGTTTTTGCTTCCAGTGAATGGCTTCTGTTGGCATAAAATGGTATTAATCTCACACTATTTTCGGAATGCAGGCTGCCAAGAAGGTTTATCCGTGTATAATTAATTTTCTCAGTGCTCATGATGAACTCGATACATCTTTTGCGGGCTGAATTCTGTCACTGCGTCTTGCTCCTTCATCTAAACAACCTACGTAGTATAAAGAGTAATCCATAAGGCATGGGACTCATACAAAGATCTTATTTGTACAGTACACAGGAATATAGATAAGCTGATTTTTTTTAGTTTATTATTCTTCATTTCTTCTGTATGTATATACACACATACTTGTATAATTTTTCACATTCTTGAAAACAAATGGAATGAAACTACAGTATAAAATGAATTGTCTGCATATACCTCCGTTTTTATTATGTGCAACAAATGAATATTTTATGTCTCACAAATAATACCCCTTTGTTACACATAATAAGAAACGGAAGTAGTATAATAGTATAACATCTTGAGCATTCCATTAGTGACTACCATGTAAGTGCAGCACCACTAGAAAGTGGAAACTACTGTCTAATTCTCATTGCAGTTGCAGTCCTCAGGCATCAGGGTAGAATCTTTGATCTGTGAGGAATTCTGGACTGCTATTTTTGGGTATGCTATTTAGGGATTTAAAGATCGGCTTTCTTTGTTGATATAATTGTCACATTCATAGTTCAATCTACACCATCAAGTATCAACAAGAAATTTAGATGCAAAGAATAGTTGAAATTTTTAAGGTATAGACGGCTATACCATGCTTGGTACTGACAAAAAACGCAGAATGAACATGTAGCTGTTTTGATACTTTCTCAAAATGTCTCCACGCCATGATACATTTGGCCATGTAGTCCTTGATAATTATTCAAAATGGTCTACATTGCCCAAGGAGTAGGGATGTCAATGGGGCGGGGCGGGGCGGATGTTGGCCTTCCCATCCCCATCCCCACCTAATATTTTCATCCCCATCCCCGCCCCACCGGGTACAACTCCAAAACCATCCCCGCCCCACCCCCCACTTGGATATCCATCCCCACCTAATCCCCGCCAAAGACCCGTCTAATCCCCACCCAAAATCCACCTAATATCCGTATCTCAAATACACAATCTTACATAATTAATACGAATTATGAAATAAAGCATTCTATACACATTTTTGTGTTATAATATAAGTGTCGTACAAAGTATTATAATTAATATTGTATTTTATGTAATTATTTTATAAAATAAAAGTATGTAATTTTGCTTTAAAAGATATATAGTTGTGGGTATGAGGTGGGGAACGGGCGGGTACGAAGTGGGGTGAGTGGGGCGGGTACAACTTAAAATCTACCCCCACCCCATCACCCATGGCGGGTATGGTTTTTATCCCCATCCCCGCCCCACCACCCGCCAAATCGAGACCCATCCCCGCCCCATGGGGCGGGGATGGGGCGGGTCTCCTACTTGACCCGCCCCATTGACATCCCTACTAAGGAGCAAGCAAGGGTAAGTTGTATACATTCTCCTTTTTCTTATTATTTTAACTTTTCTTCTTCTCATTATTTTTCTTCTTTTTTTTCTACCCCTTGTATTTAAGGATTTGTTTGCTTTCAATAGAGCTATATATGGTGCTCAATGACATGTTTGTAGGGGCATGTGATAAATTACTCAAGACATTGGATTTTTACGATTATTGACAATTTGAGTAGGGTCGTGCGGGACCTTAATTAAAAACTCAGCGCTAATTGAGAGGCATCCCAATTTTATTTTTGCTTTTTCTTTAATTATTTTATTTCATTTTTTGTTATTTAAATAACAATGCTAATGTGTGTTTAAATGCTGAACTTTGTTGCTAGGTACAAACACAGCTAAGTTCCTTTGCTACGTCGGCTACCCAATTAGCTCTACCAATTGTGGTGGAGGTGTCTATACCTTTTAACTCTCCCTTTTCTTATCCATCCCTTTGTGAGTTGTGCCTCTCCCTTATTTATGCTTTAGTTCCTCTTTGTTAACATCGAGGACAATGTGAAGTTTAGCTTGGGGGAGGATGATTGGCATTATCACTTTTGTGCATATTAGTTATGTCAGTTTTAGCTTAGTTTTTATTGATTTGTAGGTGTTGTATAGTTTGTACCATTCATTAGGAGTGGATGTTTACATACAATGTGACGACGGGAAAGACTAGGTCGTTGTCATGACTAATCTTCCTATGGCCAAATAAAATTTATACACAATCAACTTAACCAAAATACTAGTATAATGGCAAGCTAAGAGGTCAAACCCATAGGAATGGAAGGTGAATGTTATAGTCGCGTCATCGCGTGTTAAGTTATCCCAAAAATTATAGAATTTGTTTGGTTAAGCAAGAACTAAGCAACAAAACAAATCAAATATAGAAATCAAAATCACAAACACTAGGAAATTAGGATCTACATGCACTCATAATAGACATGCAAATTGGATAAGAGATGGATCAATCGAACAATGCGAGGGAAAATAGTAATTGCAATCAAAAGGACTCGAAAGACTATTTCCTAGTAGTCAAACTAGGGGTCTCTACGAATGACTAGTATAGGAACATCACAAATAAAGTTCAATCAATAAATGTAATTTCCAAATTAATGTGTCGTATCAATGGAAAACTACAATGCAATCTAGCTTGAGAATCATGGTTAGCTACTTCTCAACAAATCAAACACATGCATAATATCTATCAACAAATTTAATCACAATATCAAAGCAATCAAAATTCCCCAATTAGCTATGATCTATCATTCATACGTGCTTCACCACAACTCTAGCAAAGAATCTACTCACTACACATTGTAGAAATGAAGAACAAAACCAAACAAGTCATCAAAATCATCATCAACATTGCAATCTAATTAACAAATCTAATCAATCAATCAACTAGAATTTCAACAAAATAACAAAATCAAACATTAAGATTGGATTAAAGAGAAGGAAATTCTTACAAAACTTTGAGCCGCCAACAAGTTGTTAAGGAACTTGTAAACCGTTCACGGATCATAAAAGGCAACCACGATAAAGGGACAACGATAGGCAACAACGATTGACTCGTGAAGGTTACACCCCATTCATAATCCATGAGATTACTAACTCCATATGGTTCGGAACCACGAAAGGAGGATTGGGGATGATGGTACGAAGTGAGTCATGGAGTCGCATTTGCCCATATTGGCCTCTACTCGATTCTTAAAATGAAAAGTGATTCCTGCGATCTCAAAGGCATACAAACAAAATATTCAATTCCCTCCAAACTATTATTATGCTAAACTGGTTTAATATTAATGCAACATATAATTCTAAAATATTACGATCACTTGATTAAACAATAAGATTAAAAAGGAACCTAAACCGGTTGTCCAAATTATCTTATTAGGCGTGATTTTCAATTACATATTCCCTTTAACATGCAATATGGTGATCAAAAATAAAATAGAATAGAATTAACATTAATTTTGGAAGCAATTCAACAATAATATCTTTAGTCAAATCAAATTATAATAATAACCCTAATCATGATACTAGCAATATAAAATAATTAGAGTAATTAAGTGAATTAATTACTCACTTTCAGCGTTTCCTTGAATTGCTACATCAGGAATAAATTGTTAGTAACTTCAATAAAAATATAAATCAAATGGAAATTAAATTAAATAAATGTAGATTTGATTTGGTCCAAAGCCTTATTTATTTTTACCTTTCACGCCTTGTTTTAAGGACTCGGGTTAAGTATGGACTCCTTGGAGTGCTTAAGGGAAGAATGGTATAATTAGAAATATAGGTTTAAGGCTTAGAATATGAGAGAGAGAGAGAGAAGAGAATGATTTTTGGTGTAAAAGAGAGAAGGATTTGATGATCAAGCTTGTTAATGATTGGAAAAGGGGTGATATGACCTCTATTTATAGAGAAAAAAAGAAGGGTCGAAGAAATAAGATAAGATCCGAATTAAATCGGAATAAAACATGATAGACTTCAGTTTTTGCGGTTTTTGTTTTTATCATATCTTTTGATCCAGATATTGGAATAAGATGAATAAGATATCGTTGGAAATCTATTGAATTCTAATTTCTAACCCAATTAGAATCAGATGAAAATATTTTTTAGAACAAAAGATATATCAGAAATAGTGAGACGGTGTCAGTTTTGGATAGAGTTTGACATTTTATTCATATCTTTTATGTTATAGCTCGGAATGGATATTATAATACATCATTGGAAAGATAATTTCAAGGGATATCAAACCATATAAAATTTGGATAAAAACTATGAGGCACAAAAATAATATCTGTCTATCTTTGAATGTCTTTCAATTCGAATAAAATTAGGACTTCAAAAAAAAGGAATTTTATTCAATTTCAAACTCTTTAATCTTATCTTTTCAAAAAGGATAATTAGTATCTTTTAGAAACTGATAGGAGTTTCTAATTAATCCTAATTGGTTTAGGAATTGGATTAAATCATTTGGACCCTCCATATGATTATTGGGCCGTAGGTAAGGTGGGCTTAGGTTCGGTTTGGGCTCGGCTTAATATTTTGGTCATAACTTATTGGTTATAACTCGGATTTGGGCTTATAATATATCGTTGGAAAGATATTTTCAAGCCCCATCCATATAATCAATCATTGAACACAGATTATGGACTAAAATAAAATGGAATACACGTTTGTATAAAAAGGACACGAAACAATTGATTTTAAAGGACACGAAATGAATTATTTTGGGTTTAAAGACACGAAAAGAAGAAAAATAAGTAATGGTTTGGGGAAATGGGCTAGGAACTGGGTTGGTTTATGAAATGAAAATATGGATAGAACAAGGATTTAAGCACTTCAAAGATTAAATACTCAACCCGACCAATAATGGCGGTGAAAGGTGTTCATCATCGGGTTTGGTTTTGGGGAGACATTTTTAGGTGTCTACAATCACTCATATCGTTGAGTACAACCAAAACCAACTTGCATACCCGGTATGCCTTACTGCCTATGAAAGGTAGTGATGCCTCACTTTGGCGTAGCCCACCACTACCCTCGTTCGGCCGGTAAGTGTTGTTTTGGAATGGCAAGTTTTTACTCAATATTTAGGGACCTAGGGTTTCTATGTTGGTTGATTTAAGTGAACTTAATTACTCATCACAACATGGGAAATCCTAAACATGCACCTAATATATAATTCATATACATAAACATATATATATATATATATATATATATATATATATATATATATATATATATATCGGAAAACATAAATATAGATGCATTTGGAAACTAGCATGACCCCTTGAGATCTTCAAATCTTCAAAAGGTCTTCATTTGCAACTTTATGCCTACGTCTTCTGAGAAACTCCATCATCAAGACTTTACCATAATTAA